TTTTTTTTTGGGGGGGGGGGGGGGGTTGTGGTGTTACTCCACATATTTTTCAAATTTTCTGATTTGTTTTGAAAACATGTTACTGTATTCAATGGATAGATTACGGTCTTTGGCTCAATACGACAAAGAATGAAGAATATGAATTTTATAGTTGCCACGTGTATTTTAAAAATCAACCAATATGGCGTCGATTGCAAACGAGCAATTTGGAATATATGAAAATTTTGTGGGACGTAGGAAACTATTGAATTTAAAGTGATGACCGCATTAGAGACGTGTCTGTATTAGAGAGTTGTCTGTATTAGAGAGGTGTCAGTATTAGAGAGGTGTCCGTATTAGAGAGGTGACTGTGTTATAGAAGTGTCTGTATTAGAGAGATGTCCGTATTAGAGAGATGTTTGTATTAGAGAGATGTTTGTATTAGAGAGGTGCCCTTATTATAGAGAGACGTCTGTATGAGAGAGGTGTTTATATTAGAGAAGTGTCTGTATTAGAGAGATGTCCGTGTTGGAGAAGTGTATGTACGAGAGATATTCCAAATTAGAGAAACATCCGTATTCGAGGAGAACTGTAGATGAATACATACTACTTACAAGTTTTGAGAGGGGTCTCCCAGGCTCTTCCTACAATCAAACGTGACAACTTTATCCATCTGATCAACCGAGCCATCTTGAGGCAACGCCTGCATAGACACGTTGAATCTTGCCGGCTTATCATCAGATTGCACCAAGGAAGCAAAACATTCCTCGTTCGTAAGTTTCTCGATGTTTGGCGCTAGAGAACTAGCGATTAGGACATCAGCCATTCAAGAGTGTTACACCATGTATCTCGATGTGTTTGTGTCTCACAAAAGGACATTTCAAAGTCATAGGGGGGCGACATATTTTGTGTATCCAATCACACTGTATAGAGCGTTATTTTGAAGGGTTAACCGCTATATTTCGACATATACTTATCATATGCTATTTGAACGCCAGGGTGGGCAAAATCAACGAGTAAAAACGTTGCAAAAGCATACGTAGTCGTAGATGTACAAATAACAGCGAATCATTATACGCTTTATTATGCGAATCATAATGAATATAGTAATGCATGGTTGCATGCATATATAATAAACTCAACACTGTTCCAGAACACCGTGTGCACTCCATTTTATATCGTTCCACAACAGCGTTCCAAATGTTCTAGAACAGTAAATGGAGCAGCTTGCTGGGCTCCTGTGGCTCTGCCATTGCCACGTCTACAATTGCCACGTCTATTGCTTTTATGATTCTATGATTGCACTACAAAGTGTCCGAATTGTCTCGGCAAACATTCATAATGAAAAAACGATCTCTGAAAGGAAAGAATGCAGATTCGCAATGTTCTGAAACACAGAACGAAAACCCAAGCGTCTTTTCGTCGATACGGGACAATTTAGATATTAATCCTTTTACTGAGGAAATCGGTCGAGAAATGATAAACAATGCAAGGCAGAATGCGTTGAAAACATTTGTCAAACCTGGTGGCAGTGGTGCTAAAGGCGAAACCGACTATCACATCACAAGAATGGTCCAGGAATTCGGAAAACAATGTCATGCAGTACCAGCACGAATTACAGAAACATTGGCCGTTGCCAGAAAATCTGTTGGTTATATTCGTTGTGGAGATTATTCGGGAACCTGCTTCCTTTTAACTGAAAATGCCATTATAACCTGCAAACATGTGATTAACCAGATCGCCGCCCTCAGATCTGAGACCACAGACCCAGAGCTCTACCGAACAATTTTTGTCAATTTCGACTATGATTATCCCGGTCTGTTTGGAAATCTCCAAGCAGAGATCGATGAGGAGGGTGAAGTATTTTTCGGTCTGCACGACTTGGACTATGTGATTGAAGCCTAATCCTGACCTCAGTGACCTACCACCGTTGGGCCCTTTCGTAAGGACTCGCCTTCCTCAAAATCGACGTGTTGTTTTGATTGGACATCCCGAGGGTCAGTGTAAATTACTGGAAATTTGCCAAATAATACCCGACTACGAATGGCAAGTGACCCTCCGTGAGCAGAAGTCGAAAGCTGAAAGTTATTGCCAACAAAATCCCCATGAATGCCAATTGTCAAACGGCCAGGATATCCAATGTATTCACATGCATAAGGACTATATACTGCAGGATGAGCATTCCAACGATATTCCATATGATACAAGTTTTTTTCTATGGATCAAGCGGGTCACCCGTTTTTAATGCAGATGGGCACATAGTCGCCATGCATAGGATGGGTTATCCGTATTTTCAGCGTTCGAACAAATTCAGTTTGATGGAATTTGGTGTAACGTTTCATGCAATCTATCAAGATTTGAAAATGCGGCACGGCGGCGAAGATATCGCAAATCATTTTCTTCCTGGAGTCAAGACTGAACTCTGGAGTCAAGACTGAACTCTTGAACTCTTTCCTGGAGTCAAGACTGAACTCTTGAATAAATCATTTGTTGTAACAGTGGTACAATTGGGATATTCAATTTCAGTATTTTTAGGTTGAGAACTGATACCAGGTGACATTTTAAAAAGGTCTGATGTTCTGTAGTTATGACTTATTGAGATTTTGGTGGCATCTCACTTGATTCAATAATAATAGTTGAAGGGTCTTGTCAGGGACCTGTTGTTGCATTTTTTGCAACTGTTCCTGGTTAAGTCTAATAAATGTATATAAATTTCCACTGGATAATCGCTCCATCTACAATACCCTTCAACTATTATTCAATCAAGTGAGATGCCAACAAAATCTCGATGTTTGCCCATAACCTAAACATGCATGGCCGTACCCTACATATATACATGAACTTGTGGTTAGAGCTCGACAACTGTCCTCTGTAGCTCAGTTGGTTAGAGCTCTTGGCCTCTGTAGCTCAGTTGGTTAGAGCGCTGCACAGGAATCGCAGGTTCGATTCCTGTCAGGGACCTAAAGTTGCATTTTTCGCAGCTGTTCCTGGTTAGGTGACTGGGTGTGTGAAAAATTTCCAAATGGGTATCCAAATTTCCATATAATATTTTTCCAAATGCTTATTTGGTGTGAATGACTGTTCAAAATATAGTTTATTTCTGAATACATATCCCAATTTTCCAAACATGAGAAGTTCTCAAATCTGGGGAACTGCCCCCCCCGGCCCCTGATACTATAGAGGTATTGATAATAAAAGTAAATTCAACAGCTCTTTTGATTGTGAATAACATTTATTACTTTGAATCTACAATAACATACATCTTTTACAGTGTCGTGTAAATTTTCTATTTTATTTTCTTGGCAGACTGCTATACTGGACTCTGTCATACCACAGTTTTAGATTCTACAAAGATAAAATATATAAGTTTCTTCTTAATTGGCATGGCGATAAATAATTTTCAACGTCGGAGAGAAATCGTTACACGCGCCTTTCTCTTAGTTGCTGTTTAATTCCGAGTATCATTTCATTCGTTTGAAGATATTTCTGATCTTGGACAGTGCTTTAAAAGGTTTCCAAAAATCCTATTAGATTTACTAATTGGTGTGTGATTTAGGGGCCATTCACAAAGGATGTCCGGCCAAATGATGGATTTTCAGACCCCCCTCCCCCCCTTGTCCGGCATTGTCCGAATTAGTGACCCCCCCCCCTCTCCCCCCGGACATCCGCCATGCCTCGCAAAAACTCACGCATTCTTGTATATATCAAGAGTAAAAAACTTTTACTTTTAGAACTTTTTTATAACTGTAAATGTGAACACAAAAACATATAAATTACTAATTAAAACAAAATCTAGTGTTAACCGCATAGTCAAAATGCCAATTTCACAATGGGAAAGACTGCTCAAAATAGAGGGAAAAAAGAAATTTGTTTTTGAATTTTTTTAAATTTCGGACATCCGGATTGCTAAAAAACTCCCCTCCCCCCCTATGTCCGAGTTTGTCCTGATTTTCCAAACCCCCCTCCCCCCCTCGGCTCGGACATCCTTTGTGAATGGC